AAGCAAACAAACCATTTTTGAAAACACAAATGAGCAAGTATCTAAGAGCCCATGGATAACCATGGATAGAAAGGGTGCTAACACCTTCCCTTTCTATAATCTACCTCCCGAACCGAGAGCAATCTCTTTAAGGAATTTTTCTGTGCTTTTGTCCTTTCCATTTGGAGAAAATAAAAGACGGTGGCGACTCTTGCTTCCGCGACATTTCGCGAACCAACGTTAAACAGTCAGTTCCAGATCCACCGATCACAAGTTCCAAATGTAAATTTTTTTGACGGTTATCCAACTAACCATTAACTTGTAACAATTGACTTTATTATATGATTTTTTTTTTATGCTTTTATATTATGTACCATTTACTATAGCATTTACATTTCATGCTATTTTCATCTTTGCTAACTTGAGCATTTACTTTTATGCCATTTTTATTTTTCTCACTTGAGCTTTTCTTTTCTTTTTAAAGATACTTAATAATCAACATGAACCATATAAAACATTAATGATACTTGGACTATTTGGTTACTATCTTTGGCATTATGGAGTATTGGACTTCTTGGACTTAGGATTAGAGACCTAGACCTATGTTGGAGACCTTGTGACCTTAATTTATATTTTGTCTGGAGTTCTTGAGGTTTACCTCAAGACATTGGGTTGATTATTTGTTTTGTGTGCAGGTTATTGTGATTACATACTTTGTCTGTAATCTGGGAATTCATCTGTATACAACCGTTACTCTGCCCAATTTTTGTGAAGACTTAATGCAATTAAAGCTTGGTTTTATCAGAAGGTCTAGTATCTTTGCTTGCTTTGTTTCAATCCAAATAATGGGAATTCTATCTTGACTCATAATGTCAAGTATTGGCTTCTTGTTGGTTAGATAGATCTTCTCCCTAGCTTTTACCTTATGCTTTAGGATAGTCCTTTCATCTCCTCCCATCTTATTTAATTTCCAAAATCTTCTCCCTCCTTTTGAAAACTCTTCTTGTTTCTAAACTTTGACCACTTTCATAATAACCTTGGACTTAGGTCCATGCATTTTTAAAACATTTTCCTAAACAAACTTTAATCAACTATATAATACCTTAACATTCTTGTGAGAAGACTAAAAGTCAATCAATCTCATTCAAACCATTTTACCACTTTGGCTCTTATCTTTAAAATTTTCTCAAAAGATTAGACTCTTGTCAATCCTTATAGTGATGTAAACATCTATACTTCTGGAATATGTAGTGAAGTGAGATATTTTCCACTTGGTTGTTGAGTGAGGCATTGTTGATTTTAAAATCCAAGCCATATGCTCCACTTTGAGATGATGCAAATTCTCCTTTATCATGATTTTGGGTAGTAAGTATGTTTTCCACACAGACAATGACGATGATGTATTATCTCATAAAATTAACCAACACACCTTGTTTTAAAAGTTTTAAAGGTGAACTACGTGTACCCTGATCCCCTATTGTACTAATAGTGGTACGTAGGCACTAAAGGTTCGCAACCGCGACGGGTGCAAAAATCATAAAAAATATTTCTTTACTCACCTCCACCATCTATTTTACATACAAAATTTTATAGACAATATACATATTTTTACAAAGAGGTTCCTGCAGAGTACCGTTGATGCTTAGGGTGCTAATACCTTCCCTTTGCATAACCAACCCCCTTACCTTAAATTTCCCCCCCCCCCCCCCCCCCCCCCCCACTTTTTGGTTTATTCTCTCTTTTCCCATTCCTTTGAAAACAAGAAAGCGTGGTGGCGATTTTTATTTAGATATGTTCAAGTCAAGTCAATCCAATGGCCCAGTCTTAAGCATTTCTACCGCTACACTATGAGAATTGGTGCAAGCAGGGGAAAGTTGTGTTTTGTTGTCAAGATCTTTGGAATCTTATGAAATATGGATTAGAATATCTTAAAAAAGACACTTCAAAAGAAGAGGCGAAATACAAACAATCAAAGAAGAAGAATTACAAAACTCTCTTTATAACTTATTAATGTCTGAGTCCAAATAATTTCGAAAAGGTTAGTGATATTGAATGTGCAAAATAAGTTTGGAAAGTTTTGAAGAAATCATTTGGAAGCACTGAGAAGGTTAAAGAGGTGAAGTTACAAACACACAAAATAACGTATGAATTGCTTCAGATGGAAGATAGCGAGATCATATCTGATTTCTTCACTAGGGATATAAAACTAATGAAACAAATCAAGGTTTATGGAGAGACATTAACAACAAGAGTTATTGTTTCAATGATCTTGAGATCTTTGGCTCTGAAGTTCGACCATGTGGTAGTTTCCATAGAATAGTCGAAGGACATGTCACCTTTGTCGAAGAAATAACTTTAAGGGACGCTTGAATCTCATGAACAAAGAATGACTGTAAGAGTTGCAGCCAAGTCGAAGAGTATTGTGGCTTTGCAGACGCAATCAACAAGAGACAAGAAAGGAAAAGGAAAGTGGTTTGACAACAAAGGAAGATGAGGCTACTACAATTCGACTGGTAGAGGAGACCATCATGATAAAAATGTGTCGAATAAGAGAAGACCATAACAAGGCAACCAAAATGGTGGTTTTGAAAATAGAGGAAGAGGTGGTTGTTGAAGAACCTTACAAGAGTCATATTCAGTATTTCAATTGAATTAAGTATGGTCGCTATTCTAATGGTTATCCAAATAAGCGAAAGAGTCAAGAAAGTGATGTAAAGTTTGTAAAACATGAAGAAGAAGAGATGATGTTGATGGTCTCAACAAGACATGAAGAGAAATTCAAGGACCAATGGTACTTGGATTTAGGATGCTCATCACACATGTCTGGAAGGAAAGATTGATTTTGTTAACATAAAACCCTCGATGAAGAACATGGTGAAATTCCCAAATTACAATACCCTAGCAGCTGAAGGTATTGGTGATGTTATAATTATAGTGAAAGATGGGTAGAGGTCAGTAGTTTCCAATATGTTTTACATACCAGGCATGAAGATCAATTTGCTCAGTATATGACATTTGGTCTAAAATAAATATAAAGTGTCGATCGAAGACAAGATGATAAGAGTAGTCAACGCAAGAGGAAGGTTAATCTTGAAGGCTCCAATGTCTCAGAATAGGATCTTTAAGATTGAACTAAATGTGATAGAGCACAAATGTCTAGCAAGTGCAGCTAGCAGAGACGAGTGAATATGGCATTATTGAATTATCCATCTCAACTTCAAAGAAATCAGAAACTTGAAGAGAAGAAATATGATTTCAGGGTTGGAAGAAATCGATATTCCAAACGAGGTGTGTGAGGAATGTGTGCAGGCGAAGCAGCACAAGAACAACTTCATCAAAGATGCAGGAAGCAAGTTGAAGGCTATTCTTGAAATCATATACTCTGATGTATGTGGATCAAACCAGGTGGACTCTGTAACGCCCCTTAATTTATTAATTATTTAATTTAATTATTTTTTGATTAGTCGTTGGGCTTATTTAGGTGATTTGTAGTATTAAGGAGGTGTGAGAATTATGCCCAATAGAAATAATTCTATTATTATTGAGTTTAATTATAATAATAGAAAAATAGGTTTTGTCAAGAAGAAGCGGAATAAGTGTTGGAAGAGAGAAAGAGAAAGTAGAAGTTACAAAGAAGGGGAAAAGAGGCAAAGCGGGATTCGATCGGAAAATTATAGAGCAGCCTTCAATCCAAGGTAAAGGTGAGTTTCTTACTCTATAATTGGGTATATGATGCATTTTACATGGGGATTGGGTTGTGTGAAATTATAACTCTATGTGATGGTTGTATGAACAAATTGTTGGTTGGTTTACGTGATAATTGTGCTAACGTTGCAGTGATTCAATCGATGAGTTGAGTGTTGGAAATTATTATGTATTGATGTGGGTATAGTTATTATAATACTGTGAATATTGAATAAATTGTTGGAGCTGATTCTTGTTAAGTTGGACTGGATTGACAAAATGTTAAGTTGAAGGAATATGCCTTGTTGATGCCTCTATTAATTAACAATTTTTAAGTTGGGCGTTCTGCTCTGTTTTTAAGTTGGGAGTTCTGCTCCGCTAGTACCACATGCATGTGCATAGTAACAAGTTGTATTTCAGGTTGCATATTGAGTTGTTGTGTTGTTAAATTATTTTTTATGTTTCGTTGATGTTTTCGTTGTGATAGGCGTTGTTTAAAGTTGTGAAGTGGTGATTTGGCATAGACTAATTCTAATATAATATTATAATACATCTGATTATATTGTTCGATATCTCACCTCTTCTGTTTGAATGTTACTCTGATGTTGGTAACGTGCAGGCAATTCAGAGTGAAGGCGATTTACCTTCAGTAGTTCGAGTCGGTGTCATTGCTCTGATATGTAACACTCGGGGGGATGAACGCTTGTTGTTTTATTGTTATTAATTCAGTTGATTGAACCTTAAGTTATTTATTGTTAAATACTTAAGGTGTCGAAGTGTTTGTTAAATACGTAACACTCGAGGGGATGAACAATGTGTGTCGAAATAGTCTAGTCTAGTTGTTAGGTGTCGAAGTGTTGTAAGCAGATTGCTACACACGTAATTTGATTAAGGTCTAGAATATGTATTTTTGCCTTTTATATTTTTGTGCTTTTTGGCTTAGGAAGAAAGCAAACTCAATTATAAATAGTGGGAGAAACCCCTATTTTATAAAACATTGAATATTCGCAGAATTTGCAGTTGTAAATGAATAAGAAAGTTTTCCATAATTTGTGGGTAGAGAGAAACTTTGCAGAAATCTTAAATCTCCTTTCTTCTTTAATTTTTTCATTATTATTGTGTGGTGATAACAATCTTATTCATCAAAATTAATAGATATTCATCATAGATTTTAATAGATTTCCAACGATCATAAAACATGGATCGACAAATTTATTTCTTACAAAATAAACATTAAGAAAAGCAAACATGCATGTTTATATATCTTACATGCATGCCATTACAAACATTACACTAATTATAACGATGCAATATAGTAAATATATTGCCTTAATGACTTATACAACAACCTTTTCTTCCTTGATAAGATGAGCATCAATATCTCTAGTGTTTTTGCCAAAGTAGTCCATGTAACCATATGGAGGGTCAATATCCTCATTAATTTTCTCATATTCAATAGTCCATTTAACAACAGCAGTACCATCAGCCTTATCACTTACTTCGAGGATGAGCCTAAACGCCTTATAATGCTTATCAATATCTCCTCCAAAGATCTTCCAAATTATTTTTTTGTTTTGTTCATCAACTTCTTCAATACTCTCGTAACATGTGTGTACCTCACCACCTATTTTTAGATCAAGGACAGTTAATACCAATTGTTAATGTCTGGTGGATACCTCCTAGATCTCTTATACATGTTTTTTTTATGACTGATATAAAATAAAATAAGATTTAGTTATCAGAAATACAGTTACCTATGACATATGTCCAATGTTTAACTGTATCAGTGTCATGCCAGTCTTCTCCCTCATGCAGCTTGGCATGGTGAATTCTTTCACAATGGACTTGCACTTCGTGAAATTCTGTTGCTAATAGTTTGTAAAACTTTTCTGCGGATGTTTTGATACCAAGTTCATTAATAAGCTTACCAGAGAGCACCATTTTTGAGAAGAAACTAAATATATATAATAATAGAAGAAAGAAAAGATTTGCTATAATGTGAGGGAGATGGATGCAACCTCATGCCTTTAATAGAAATTTGATAACACTATACGACTAGTAATGTACCTATCAAATTAAATATACGGCCCACTAATTTATACTACTGCACACCCACCATGTGATGCCAGAATTTACTGAATTTTTTTATTAAATTATTTAATAGTTAAACTCACGTTTTTGTGGATGAGTTAAATTGAAGTAATTTACTAATATATGGTTCAATTTTTAACCGCAACAATTATTAAAACAAAATTTATGATAAAACAAAATTCTATAGATAAGCAACTCGGAAAGTAATGAAAATAGATAGCAAAATTTTCTGTTTTTGAAAAAGCAAGACAATTATTCACTTGGAAAAAAGTGTAATAAATAAATGTAACGAATTAAAAAAACTAATACTAATGCAGTAAAAACTTTTTATATCGGACAGAAAAATATATTTTATATTGGATTTAGATTTGATGTAAAGTCAAGCGATATAGTAAAATCAAAGATATTTTATATCGGACTATAGTCCAATGTGAAAAATACACATACCATATCAGTTGAATGTTACGTCTGATGTGAAATATGGATTTTACTTTATTTTCTTAAAATAAATACAACAGTTAACATCGTTTGTCGTTCTGGACCGATGTAAAATAGTAGTTTTTACATCAGTTGCAATACACATCCGATGTAATATGTATGCTATCTTTCTTAAAAAATTAGACTATTTTTTAGCATAATCGGGGTGGAATCTCTGTAATTTTTTTTATACCAAATTTTTCATATTTTTTAACATCACAAAAACCACATTTAAGTTTCATTAAACCAAATAGTTAGGATGCACGTATTCTTCAAAATAAACAATTGATTTACAAATTTACTAATCTAGGATACACACAACTATACTAAATTATAAGTATGTTTATACAGCGGACTCCTACGATAACAAAACCAGTGAAAACATACAAAAATATCAACTATTTATAAGTCATTTCTCACACTTGAATTACCAATATGCAATCCACAAGAAGATGAGTTGTAAGTTCAATAGGCAACACCAAAATCACATTTGCTGACAATAAATAATAACACAAATTTACATCAACAGACAACACCAAAGTTGTAAAACGCAAAATAAATAACATAGTAAAGTTATTTCTATTACCTGCATCCAAGACTGAGTTATATTGACAGAGATAATATCCAACATATTTTTCATCACATAGTACCTACAATCAATAATGTTATGTTGTCGCCTTATCTACAAATATATAACATAATGAGTGAATATTCATCATAAAATTAAATATAAAATTATAATTTACGTTACATATACATTGGAATGAAATCAAGTAGCCTTTTTTTCTATTTTTATTTCCCATTTTATGAACCCAAAAACACGACAATGATACTCATACTTTGTTAACATATTCAAACCGATGGTACAAAGCTAATTCATACTTTGTAAAGTCCATTTTCCAAGGTCATAAAACCTTTCTTTTCTAGACAAATAATAGCCCTTCATAAAGCAGAAAATCATTTATAAGTGGTAGACAATAGAATAAGAAAGTGGTAATGCAAAACAGATTGAGAAAACACATACAATTCCTTTTGTCTCTGACTTTGTAATTTGCTCTCTTAAAATCTCCATCTTAGAATCTATTGTCTGAAATAAAGAATATACTATTGGACATGACAATCAATCCCATAATGAATCTAAGAAAAAAGAAAACAGCGAAGAGCATGATGGAAGAAATCTTATAACAGTGAAATGTTACAACAAGATAACCAAACTATCAAATAAATTCTCTAAAATGGCTATTGAAACTCAACATATAAATCTTTTTTTTACTTTTTCTTCTTTGCTAAAACCACACTTAAAATTTCAAAAACATTCTTTTAATAGTTTTAAAAAAATTAAGTGTATGAAATATGAATACACAAAAACAAAAAATTAATGAAAAACCGGACATATGATTGATTCCTTTTTATGAATAAGTTCAATATAGACTAAAATAACACTTTTCTTAATCCAACTTGCTTATACCGCTCTACATGACCATGCATGTTAGATCAAACATAAGAATTTAACTAATTAAAAAAAAAGTAGAAATGACTATGTCATCGTGATTCTACTAACTAAGAAAAAAATCATTTTTTATTATAAGTACATCATTGTATATATTAACAGTAGAACAATAAAAAACTTACATTGGCAATGCGAACAATAAAAACATGCATGCTAGTGGAACAAAATAACAAAATAGAGACACGTAAACAACCCATTTCTGATCTCCTCTTTGAGAATCTGACTTGTCTGCTGTTGGAATTCTGAATTTTAATCCTAGAAAACTTATAATATTTACCGATTACATGTTCGTAACAAGAAACAAGAAAGAAGAAGTATTTCAGCGACTCACCAGGAAATGATACTCATGTGAATATGACCAATTCATATTTTATAAGCATGCTGAGAATGTGAGCAGTCTTATAAATTGAAGTTGGGATATGATTTTTCACCTCTTTTGGAAAAGTACTACCAGTCTCAAGCCATGCACGGAAGCCCTGTTATACAAACCTAATTTGGCTTTAAAATGATTCGAAACGACTTGCAGCAATATTCATGGTAGTAATTGTTGGAAATCCACCAATACTCTATGATGAATTTCGACCACCACTGATGATTAGTTATGACAAACAAATAAAAGAACAATGGAGATATTTCTGCAGAATTTCTATTCTGCCCACAAACTGTGGAATCTTTATTAATTCACTTTGCAACTGCAAAATACTGTGAATGAGTTGATTACAAAATAAGGGTTACTCCCTCTATTTATAGATTTAGGTTAGCTTGCTCCCTAAGCTAAACTCAAGCCCAAAATATCTCTTTACTAAATCAAATCTAATCTAGATTTAAATTCAAATCTATTTAAATCTAAACAAATCAAATCTTCTTTTGACACATATGAATTACAATTTAACACACCACCTAATTCATTGTGTCTAAACTGTCTATGTTCATCATGGTCCTTAGCTTTCTGAATACTTCGACCTGCACTCCCTTCGTCATGATGTCTGCAATCTGATTCTCAGTTCTGCAGTGTTCCAAATTCATCTTCCCATCTGCTACCTGCTCTCGAAGATAATGGAACCTCATTTCGATGTGCTTACTTCGACCATGTGCTATTGGGTTCTTTGCCAGATTGATAGCTGACATGCTGTCTATCTTCATGGTAATTGCTCCATGATTTTTCCCTGTTATCTCTTCGACCAAGTTCACCATCCAGGTTGCTTGACATGCACAAAGAGAAGCAGCTATGTATTCTGCTTCGCATGATGATAATGCCACTACTGGTTCTTTTCTCAAACTCCAAGCAATTGTTTCACCACCTAGCATAAACACATATCCTGCTGTTGACTTTCGATCTTCAGCATCACTACACCAACTCGAATCAGTGTATCCCACTAACTTGCATTCTTTTCCTTTATCAACTACAGGAAACAGAATGCCATAATCGAAAGTTCCTTTGAGATACCTTAGTATCCTCTTCACTGCTGCTAGATGTGATACCTTTGACTTCTGCATGAATCTACTTACCATACTTACACTGTATGCTAAGTCAGGCCTTGTATGACAAAGGAATCTCAATGATCCAATAAGTCTTCTGTATTGGGTTGGATCAACATCATCTTCATCTGCATCTTTCGACAGTTGCAGTCTTGGTTCTGCAGGTGTTGAAGTTGCGTTGCATTCTTCCATCTCAAACCTCTTGAGAATTTCTCCTGCATATCTTCTTTGATGCATCATCAAACCTCTACTGCTCTTGTAGAATTCGATACCAAGGAAATATGAAATCTCACCCAAATCAGACATTTCGAATTCCTTGCTAAGATCAACTTTGAAGTCTTCGATCTCATTCTTGCAGCTACCTGTTATCAACAAATCATCTACATAGAGACATAGTATAAGCAATTTACTCTTGCTTCTTCTTACATATACTCCATGTTCAGTTATGCACTTCACAAATTCCTTCTCCCTTAGAAAACTATCAATTTTCTTATTCCAAGCCCTTGGAGCTTGTTTCAAACCATACAGGGCTTTATGCAGCCTGTACACCTTTCTTTCTTCGTCATGTTTCACAAACCCAACTGGTTGTTAACATAGACTTCTTCATCTAAGGGTCCATTTAGGAATGCACACTTCACGTCCATCTGACATATGTGCCAACTGTTGATTTCTGCTAGACCAACAACCAACCTGATTGTTTCGATCCTAGCCACAGGTGCAAAAACTTCGTCGAAGTCTATTCCTTCTTTCTGTAGAAATCCTTTCGCCACAAGTCTTGCTTTGTGTCGAGTTACTTCACCTTTCGAATTAGTCTTCACTTTGTATACCCACTTGACATCAATTGCCTTCTTGCCTTGGGGCAATTCGACAAGTGACCAAGTGTTGTTGTCTTCGATAGACTTTACTTCTTCGTTCATTGCTTTCACCCACTTCGAATCCTTTAATGCTTCAGCTGCATTAACAGGTTCGACATCTGCATAGAAAGCATAATGTACCAGCTCACCTTCATCATCTATCACATCATCTGATGTAATCACACAATCTTGCAATCTTGCAGGCATGCGTCTTGTTCTTTGAGGTCTGCTTGTACTGGGTATATATGTTGGCTCCTCTTGTCGAACTTCTCTTTCGACTTGAGTTTCTGGCTCTTCGAATAAGATTCCCACTGAATCTTTCTTGACATTTGCAGTCCAATCCCATTCTTTGAACTCATCTATGATCACGTCCCTGTTGATCACAATCTTCTTGTTCTATGGATCGAACAACTTGTTACCTCTTGTCGAATGATATCCAACTAGGATCATTTGACTTGACTTGTCATCAAGTTTCTTTCTCAACTGATCTGGCACATGTCTATGTGCAATAGATCCAAATACTTTCAGAT